TCATTAGCTGTATGATCTATACCAAGACATTGACATAGTAAATCGCAAAAAAATTTAGCTGCTTCGCTATTTGGGCCATGTCGTGGGAATGGAATAAAAAGAAAGATTAGAAAGGCATTGATTAAGTTTTCACGAAACGAAACGTGGTAGAAGATATTTTCATCTTTGATGGAACAACCAATTGAGCAGCAACATAAAAGCACTCAGTACTCCTAACTGGCAACTGCAAGAAACTGATCGACCCAGTTGGTGTAAGTTACTGGTCGCGGCTAAAGACGATTCATGTCTGTAATGGCCAACCATGTCTGTAAATGGTAAGTAAATCGATTTAGTTAGGCATGTATTTATTGTAGTATCAACATTTCTACCTCAATGTGCCAATGGGAGCCAAACATCACTAATCATTTGGATTTCGAGATGAACTATTGAAGGCACTAACTATATATCTTCAATAACTCCATTAAGTCAGTGGGGAAACAATTTCCTATATAAAAGAAATCACTTCATCTGAACAAAAACATAGAAAGTAATTAAAAGACTCCCTACTTCTCTATAGCAATATTGTATTCAAATCAATTATCTATAGATACAATATATATTATAACTAGTTATACGAATAATTTAAGAACTACAAATAAGCCCTTTCTGCATAGCTCACTTGTCGGAATATGCAACCGTTTGAGCATCAGCGCTGTGTTTCTACCTAATTTGGAGTGATATTGAATCCTAGCACCTAACAGTCTTCGCCATTTGTTATCCCTATTTTAAATTTATCAATGCTCCTGAATAGTTGACATGTTGAAATAAATATTGCGGTGTTGGTCTGATTTATATCCATTATGATTAGTTTATAAGCCATTCGTCATTTGGTAATTGTGGCGAGTACTGAGTTATCAGTTTTATTTCGGTCTAATTTTTGTTCATTGAGTGCTCTATTTTGATTTTATCATCTACTTGAGCGTATTTATTAATAAGCATATTAAAAACTTATTTATAAAAATAATCTCCTCACCTCATGACCGTTCCTTTGTTTTTATCATGTCAATTTCATTTTTCGAAGACATCTTTCCAATCATTTTGCTCAAATACTAGCTAGTTTTTGCGACTATAAAGCGAATATCAATCAATCGGGTTGATTTCACAAAAACCATTTCGAAACATTTATCCATTGATTGACAAATCTGAATCGTTCTGACATGTTATCTGCTTTGACTTTCAATCTTTGGAAATGTGACTAATTCACTTGAGACTTCATTGGAGCATAAAACCAAAATTCATCACTGCTCAACACAATGCTAAGCCTCTAACATGATAAATTTTAATTAAATTGAAAATATTCAAGTTATTTACGATTTCGAATAATTATAATACATCATATGCATGATAACTGTAAAGAAAAGAATAAAATTTGCAAAAAAAAATTTAATTTTGTACTGAAAGAATATTATATGACACATGTTATTATTAAAGTATGACACTATTCTCTACTTTATCCAACAGATAAATCAAATTATTTATTCATTATCAAAAAAATCGATATTGAATATGCACAGAAATCTATTATTAGCATAACAATCCAGCATAAAGTATCAAGTTTCACATTGCATTCAGCAGATGAAAACGAAACCTCACATTGAACTCAGGCGGTTTCTATTCGGTGATTTGCAGAATATCCACAAGAATGTCAAGTTCAAAATTAAGTTGATTTTAAATTGACTATTGACTTCTGGTTTGGAATGGAATTCAATGAATAGATACAGTGAATTGCTTAGCACAGAAATGCCACAACGTGTACCAGCAATTAACCGCGCCAATCGTGCGGCGAAACCCGTGCCTCTGTTTGACTTAATTTGTTTATAATTCCGACGACTGCGGACGTCGCGTCTCAGATCTAAAATTGACTACATCGTGTGAAAAATCGCGCTTGGGTTGTTGTTTTTTTTTTGTGAATGACACCTTCTCTGCTGAATCTGTAATCGAGGTATTGAAACTGTCCAGTATTGGTAGGATTTGTAAATTGTGTTAATTAAAAAACTTAATTTCTTTGGATTACAAAATTATTAATAAATAAATTCATTAACAATTAAATTGTGTAATATTAACTCAACGTATTTATCGTATTTACACAAGAAGTTACATTTATTTTTAATCAATATTTATTTTGTGGAGACCGACTTTCATCCACACTGGTCTCTGGTCCATTAAATCAACAAAATTGTTTGCATTCTCGTGCAATGACACACGTTCAAGGCCAGCACGCGTTGCTCTCCTTACAGCAAATTAAAGTGCGTGTTGCGCGTTGCTCCGAATTCAATCTTTAATTACTGGCATTCGGAGTAAAGTAATTAATTAGATTAAGTATGTTGTATGTTAAGGGTAATGATTTAATAAATTAATATTTAATTAGATTAAATATTTAGAAGTGTAATCTTGTAAGATTTACTTGTCTTTTTTTTTGGGTTGTTTCTAAATTTTTTTTTTTTTTTTGGTGTATTACAAATATAAAATATTTATTCATCATTCTTCATATGATCTCCTATCATATTGAATTTAATCAAACAATAAACATTTTCTAAAAAGAAACCTTAGAGAACTGTGGTCATTCCAACTTCAGTATAGCTTTGTTCTTTCTCCTTATAGTTGCCATGGATTATTAGTAAGCAAAAAAACGTAAAAGTTTTTAGTAATATTTTAAATATTTTTTTGTATTTTAACATTTTGATTTCGTATAAACTATCATTTTATTGTTTAAGATTTAATAATTGATAATAAAAATAAACGTAAAAAAAGGTTATACATAAATTCTTCAAAACATTTTAAGAGAAATTATAATAATTTAAATGCAAATAAAAAATTCTTCTCAGCTTTATTACAATTATTTACTGATTTATTTAAAATTATGTTATTATTAAAAAAAATAATAATAAATTTTTATGCTGTATAGGTCGCTCCTGCTACCTGTACCTCTCTATGACGCAGAAACATGGACTCTGTCACAGAATTAAGTAGCCGCACTTAAAATTTTTCAAAAGAAAAGCTTCTTTTTAAGATCTTTAACTCTTCATGAATTGATGGCCACCTATCCGAATAAAACAAGAGCTATATAATCAAGACATATTGATATAGTTCAGTAAATTAACATATAATGACCTTGTTGGCTTGGTCATGTCATAAGATTGAATGAAAATGCTCCAGCGATACAGGTATTTAAAATGGTAGTTAGAGAAAGAAAGAGCAGAGGCACAGATCTCTCCGATGGATTGATAAACTTAGAAAGCACAAACCGCACTTGATATACGAGATTAGAGAATGTGCGTATGCAACAAAGGAACCTAGAGAGGAGTTCTGCGTCAGGCCAAAACCTGATAAAGAGTTGTTATGCCCATTGAAGTAAGTAATAAATTTTTATATGCATGTATAAAATACCACAGTTCAATATAAATATTATAAGCAAAAAAAAAAACAAACTACTCGAACTTTATCTTTATTTAAATTAATTACCATAATTTACTTGAAAGATGGACGAAATTTGTAGAAACTGATGAGCAATATTTTAAATAAAGAAAATCAATTTCTCTTAAAAATTTCCTGTTTTTTTACTCACAAAAAACATAAGGAAACTTTTGGATACACTTAGTTAAACGTTAGGTTTTTTCACATATTCCTTTAAATTTTTTAAATAAAACCTTTATACTCCTTAGTTAATTCTTAAAAGCATTAATTTATGTAGGTATATCCTGGAGATTTCCTGATAATTCTCATATAAAAGCCAAAAGTAATTGCAACTTTATGTTCATTTAATTGATGACTTCTTAAAAGATTAAGTATTCACTTTAAAGCTTCTTATAATCTTAAATATCTTTAAATAACATTTCTGAATTTTTCAATTTCACAATAAGTTAAATATTGCAATTAAACGAATTACTTATTGAAAGATTTCAAAATGAAGCTCAGGATAAACAAATGAAAATTTATTTTAAAAATGTCATTTATTACTTAGCTTCTATATTTATCCATCCTGCAGCATCCATATCCATAGAAGAAAAATAATAAAGTATTTAAATATACAAGAATTAATTTTCCAAACCCCAAATTGATGAATTGCGAAAAACAATGAAATTGCTGCATGAGCATGCAACAATGCCGTAGCCTATTACCTATTAAGAGGAGCCTCGGCAGGATGTATGCGGAAGGTCATGAAGCAGCTGAAGTAAATACAAAAGGAACTCTTATTGATTTAAGATTTAATCTTGAATGTGTCAAAGGCAGAAGATCAATGAAGAAGAAGCACGCAACGCAAACCAAGTTCAATACAACATTTATTCAGAACTTACCACACATGCGACGAGAAATGGAAACGAAACCAAAGTCAATGGCAAAACGGCAAATATTCGCAAATCTGCGCTTATGTAGTCAATTGCTACATATATGTGAAGAGTTGTGTGCTCTACACAAATGTGTGTATGTGATACGTGCGTATGTGCTTAAGTGTATTTGTGCAACAATAACCACAGTTGTTTCAATTTCAATTTCCTACATAACAATACTGAATGGCTGTGTAAGCACACATAAGGCTTGGTTACACACGCCCAAGAAAAGAGAAGTCTAAGCAAATATATGCATTTAATTGCTTGTATGTGTGAGTCTGTTTGTTAAACTGTGTGGAATGGGATAAGTGAAGATGTAAGTAAGTAAAATAATAATAAGATTGTGATATCATGGCAAGTGAAAGTGCGGAAAACGAGAAAACAAATAAAAACATTTTTCTAATATCCTGCCATCAATACAAATGTACGAAACCATTACAAACACATTTTGATTTCTACACAATTTGGTTTCTACACAAACGAACACATTTGCTTTGTATATGTGTGTTATTGTATGTTTTGTGGAGCATAAGCAAACTATACCCAAGTGTATAATAATTAGACTTAATTGAGTGGGAACACCATTAGATTACAGTTTAGTGTGATATAAAATAATAATAAAATTTATTAAATTCGAGTAACACAATTAGGCAACAATAACTATAATTATAATAATAATAATTATATATTCAGATAACAGCATTTGTGTTTATGTATAATATGCTTAGTAATTAATAACGGAAACGTCTCACAACGCGGTAACGATATCCATCATTAGCTAAAACTTGGCTATTCTCAACTGGTACATCTGCACTGACTGAATTATCAGTAACAGGTGGCAAGTATGAAGCAGCTGGTGATAAATCGGGAACCACGGCAGGCTTTCTATAATGATAGCCATCGGCCGCAAGTACTGCTGTCTCAACTGGAGCTTCTTCCTCATCAGAAACAGCTACAGTCGGTGCTTCTGTCTCAACTGTTGGTTCAGTTTCTACAGCTGGTTCCTCATCTTCTGCTGCTGCATCTTTATTAACAATTTCGGTTGGTTCTTCAGCTACAGCTACTTCTTCCGCTTCTGTAGGTGGCAAATACTCATTAGAAACTTTTACAACTGCTGCTGTTGTTTCTTCAACTGGTGGTAAATATTCATTTGAAATAGTTGTGGTAGGTGTGGGCTCCTCTACAGGTGGCAAGTATTCATTATTTATTTTTGTCGCTGCTGAGCTTGTTACTGGTGGTAGATATTCTCTAGTTGGTGTTCTTACAGGTGGTAAATATTCTAAATTCAGGTGAGATACATCACGTGCGTTGCGATAATTTATAGGTACATAAGCAGCATTGGAAGCTGCAACAAGGCAGAGTGTTACTAAAATGATTTTCTGTAAATTTAAATTTATTATTAAGTTTTACTTTAAACTGTATTTTACGTTAAATTTAACAAACCATTTTTGTTTTTTAAAGAAAAAATTCTTATATTATTTTATATGAATATATGTCACTGTTGCTATTGTACTGAGCTAATCGAACTGAATGATTGTGTCGAAATGATTTTTACTATTTATACGAAAAATTAACGCTTCATCTTCTTCTTCTTGAACAAACACTAAACGTTTAATAACATATTACACACTTTAAATCAGAGACTAAAATTAATAAATCAATTTTTTTTTAAATATTTTCTGCTCTCATAAAATTAAGCTCATTTAAAGCACAGCTAAAATAAAAATGTTATGTACTTCAAGTTATTAAAGAGCTTAAATCACTCAAATGTACTTGGAGGGTCTCGTTTGCTGGTAGCTTAACTCAATTATACATTTTAAGGTACGAGACCACAAAAATTATGTACATACACACACATACGAAATCCAAAAGACACAACATCGAACCTGTTAACATAGTCTGTCCGCACGCAAAAGCACGATGACGTTTCCGTTTTGAATTTTGATTCCGTTTACGATGACGATTGTTAACGGCGCTTGGCCCACTGCTGGCTGCTGTTGATGGCAATGTACCGAAGCCTCCCTACGTTTCAAATACGATTCGTTCAAGTGTAATTTTGTTCGCTAAGCAGAGCAATTGCAAATGCTTGAGGTATGATTAAGCCGATGTTAACCACGGTCATGTTGCAGCGCTGTTGACTTGCTCACATCACCACAAATTACTTGGCAGCTTCATTTGGCTCGGTTGATTGAACATAATTCTATTGAAGCGGCGGCTGCTATTAAAAGAAGCTCTTAACATTAACGCCATCAGCTAAGTCAACAAAATATTAATACACAAAGCAAAATAATATAAAAAAAATGTACTGAACATGAGTCAAAACAACAACAATGTGTGAAATAAATTCTATTATTGTTAATAACAATAACAATAGCATTAATAATATTTTAAGCATTTTTTGATTGTTTGGCAAAATTGATTTTATGCTCAGCTTCGTGTCTGTTTGTGAACATAAAGATTTAAGAATTTTAATATGATTTTTTATTGAATTTAAATTTTATTTTGTTTTATTAAATATTTTGCTGGCGTTGTTGACATTGTCATTATTTGACTCGAAGCCGTCAACATTTTGTTCAAGCACTTTAAGCCATTCTACAAACAAGAGTTCAATCGAAAGAAAAAAATACAATTTCTGCTTCTATTGCTTTCAATGCCGACTGTAAAGCTGCATAAATTACAATGTCAATAACACCGTAAAGCAAAAGTGCTAACATAAAAAGATATTAAAAATATGAAAATTGTAACAATAGAAGAATAAAAAAAAAAGATACAATTTTTTTTCAACTTTTAGTTTTTTTTTCCCATCAAGTAAAGTCACGTTTATGTTACAGTTTTGAAAATGCAATTCACACAAGAATTAAAAACTAATTCTCCTACACTTCACTTTCAATGCAATCTGCTTTGTCATTGTTACACCATTGAAGGTAATTAAATGTTACGAACCAATCAGTGTTTCCACTGGATGAGTTGTTCTATGCCTTCAACTAATTAAAGGTCATTGAGTAAGAAAAGAATAAATTTAGCATTTTGTCACTGCTAATAATTATTATTGAGTAGCTATAATTCCATCATTTCATCATGTCATGCGAATGGAAGAAAGTGCTACCACTAGCTATGTTTCTGTTCTACTGCTAAACTAACACTATAGATCTTTTTTACCATTGACCACAACCATTAGTTGTTATAAAACTGTGTTCTCGACTATAAAGTAAATTATTTGCAGGCTATGCTCATGTTTTACATTTTAATTTCAAATGAAAAGTAATAATTTAAATAAAAGTGAAAAAGAATAGAACATAAGTAACAATTAAAACTAAAATAAAACTGAAAACATCAATAGTTAATTGTTGCATATTAACTCCTAAGAAATCATAATTCTCATTAAGTTGAACGTAATTTAATCTCTATACGAATAATTTATAATTCTCATAGACTCTCCTCTACGTTGTAAATATAAATTCCAATGCAAAGGACTTGGTTTAATATTTAATTTAATAATTAATTAATAACAATAATTTAATAATTTAGAAATTTTACTCTAACCCATCAACTGGGTCGTCTTAGTTCCGATTAAAAAAAAAGATAGCATATACACACTATTAGTTTAATAATATTATACTATTATTTCGGAAAAAAAAATTATAATTTAACCTCTACATGAACAAGTTGTAATGTAAAATTAAGTACACTTTTAAATCGAGTTTAAGAGCTTTAATTAAGAACCTCGCTCTACTTTTTTTTAGTAATTCCATAAAGTTCGAAACTTAACAATGAAACAACCTATTGATTTAGATGAGGTTTCTGTAGATGTAGTATGTAGCACAATTAAAATAATAAATTTTAAGATTTTATAATTTATTAATTTGAAACTCTTATTAATATCTAAATAACATAAATTTTTTGTCTGTAAGTTCAAATGTGACTATGTACCTAGATACTAATGGCACTCCAAGCGTTACTACCACCGAAATATCACGGAAACCTTTAAAATAGGCCATGAAACATTTTTAATAAATGCAAATTTAAAATTATGGGTATAGTCGATACCACAAAGCAGTTTCTTTGAAAATATTTAATTGAAAAAGAAATTATTAAAAGAAATATTGTATGAATTGCACTTGAATTGCATACTTGAATTTTGAACCTCAAAGCCCACTTTTTATAAATCGGTGTCATAAAATGATAAAAAGGTAGTGTAAAAGTATTCCATTTTATATGGAACTATTCGTGGTGCAGAGAGTGTGCTGGAATTAAGTACTGCCTTTACAAACTATTATGCAATGCCAATGGAATTGTTTAAAGTTAATTTCTATTTTTCTTTTTTGTATCTTTAAATCTGTGTCCACCACTGTATTCCGGAATCAAACTGATGATTTAGTTGAGAAACATTCGTAAAGTTCGAATTAAGCAGTTAGGCTTATGACCCTACCTGCCATAATATTATCAAAATTTTGAGATTTATATAATATAATATTTATAAACAATCTTAATATCGTAAAACTTCTTATAAACAGATATGTAGATCATTGTTGCATTTGAGGGAATGAGTCACAAAAAACAGTCTCATATCAACATTCCATATATGACATTACATCGATGTCACAAATTGCATACATTGTAGCTTAAGTTACTTCAAAATAGTATTCTTTAAGTTTGGCTTCCAGTAAAAAGTATCTTCTAACAGATTTCAATAGCATATTCTACAACAAGAGGCTTTATTACAATAATAATATCATATATAAAACAAGTGTTTAATTTGAGAATAAACATAAATCGTTGTACAAAAAATATATAGTAATGTTTGAACCACATTCAATGATTAGCTATAACCGAGGAATGAGTTTTGAAGAATAAAAAACAGCGAAGTTTTTTTTTTTGAAACATCATGCTAACGATCTGTTCAGTGATAAGAAACTCAAAGAAAAACGCAGGTAAACGTAAAAGTGATGAACAACTTATATAACATTTAAAAATTGACAGAATTTATTTTACAATAAATAAAGACAATGTAAATCGAAAGCTCTATGTACTCCTTATTCTCATTCATTTTTTGTAAGAAAGTCTTTGACAAATTAAATCTTATATAATTCTAATATTATTGCTCTGATATAACCATAGTTTTAGTTTTTTTTTATTTCTTTTTTAATTAAAGTTCTAATTGAACCAAAATTATATTCATTGACAGAAATGTACCAAGAAAATTGAACAACAAGGAATTTTAATCTGAAAAATATTTACCAACATTTAGAGATTTCAAACCAATTTTAAACCAAAATACGAATTTTGCGCAAAGAACCAAATTAACACACATAATAGTATAATTGACGGATTTCAATCGAATTTTCTTCAAAATGCAATCAACAAATATGGCCAACCATTAGAGAATTCCACTACAGATTCCATCAACTAAAGTAAAAATCGATATGTGGAAATTTTTCTGCAACAAAAATATATAACTGACCTTAATGAGAATGAGGAGGAAAGGTTGCCAATTCAAAGTTCAATTAATGAAACAGCAAAGTTCAAAACAAATCTGGTTAGAAGTGCTGATATGTGGAATTCGGATTGGATATGGATTTGCATGTTAACAACAAATCAAAGGTCAAAATAATGGAATATGTACTTTGTTGAAGCAGCAAGGATTCAAAAACGAATTTAAGGGAAAGACAAGTATATATATTCTAAGTTACTTAATATGCTACTTTCATAACTACCAGTGATTCAGTCTTATAGCTTGAATGTATGTGTAAACCATTTTTCTGGAAATTTTATAAATTAAAAAATGATGTGCCTTTACGTTACTTGAGACCATAAGAGTATGGGCTTTACACTTTTTCGTTGCAGCTTTGTATCGTATTACGATGATGGGATTCATGTTGTTGAAAATTCCTTTTGTAAAACACAACAGCAAACCACTGCAAAAGAAGTGCAAAGGCATGCACACTTACAATTATGCAACACGTATGCAATACGCCTATTAGTATGCAATGACTTTCTCGTTTTACAATTGCAAACATTGTCATCAGCAAAGAGTACCGCAGTACATCATAGAGTTTGTAGCTGCACTGAAACTGAAAATGAAATACAAGACCTCATCACATCCTACACTTTCCTATTAATAAACTCAACCACAGCATTTTTCAGGCAAAAGAATTGTAAGGAGAAAATACAGAGAAATTCTTTAAATTAATGTAAACGAATTAAAGTTTGTGAAATTAAAATTAAACCTCAAGTGAAATTATTTTTCATTATTCTGGCTCACACATTTTAAAGGACATCACTTACAAATATTTTAAAAAAATTTTAAATTTGTTTACTGTAAAATTGTAACCTAAATCCCATGATCCAAAATCAATTAACGTGATTTTCTACAGAAATTTGAATAAATAAAAATTGAGCAGAAAATCATAAATAAACAAAAATAATAACTGAACACAGTAAATGCAAATAAAATTCATCGATTTCATTTTTTTTCTGAATTTAACTACGAAATAACTGAAAAATATAATATCACCAAGCAATATGAATTTCAAAATT